AGTGTCTTAATATTATACACTCGAAATTTATACTTTGCTCATTTCTAGATTTTCCAGCCTATTTTACTGATTTGTACTATTTTTAATTTGAGAGCAATTCAAGATATGATTGCCTTGAAAATAAAAACAAGTTCTAAACTGATAATATCTTATGTTTCCATCTATGAGCAAATATATGCCCAGGTTTTTCAATGTAAACTGTATTTCCATTATCCAGGGTCATAAAAGCTAAGAAGTTACTTATAAATGAACTATTTTGCTCTCTAAAAAGGTTTTTCAATTTTATTTTTAATTATATGTACATGTGTGTATCTGTATGTGCCAAGTACAGGTGCCTGTGGAAACTAGAGGTGTTGGATCCCCCAGAAGCTAGAGTTATGAGGTTGTACGCTACCTAACATGGTTGCTAGGAATTAAACTCAGGTCCTCTGGAAGAGCAGTAAGTGCTCTAACTGCTGAGCCATCTCTCCAGCCCCACTTTATTTTCTTGAGACTGGCCCAGACTTATTTTAACTAAGTATCTTAGGCTGGCCTTGAACTATCCTGCCTTAGCATACTGAGTGCTGGGATTACAGGAACATGTCACCATACTTGGCTTGTAAATTAATGTTTGTAAATATGTTTGCATTTCTTTTTTCTTTCTTTCTTTTTTGAGACAGGGTCTCCCTGTAGACCCAGCTGGCCTGGACCTCACTATGTAGACCAGGCTGGCTTGAACTCACAGAGATCTGCCTGCCTCTGCCTCCTGAGTGCTGGGATTAAAGGCATGTACCACCATGCCTGGCCACATTTCTCAATTTATGTTTTATAGCAAGGATCTTGCATAGTTAATAACAAAGGATGCTCATGGTAAGAAACCATTATATTATGCTTATTATATATACCCTCTGCCTCAATAACCACATATGACTCATTAGTCAACCAATATTTCATGCTTTAGATATTAGTTAATAATGCTCCTTGGATATGAAATCATAAACATGCCCTTATAATAGTCTAAAAGGCACCAATGTTCTCAAGAATGTCTTTGAAATAGTAAGCTATATTATCAATTGCAGGTAGAACTGGGTTTAGTAGTATAAAAGGAAGACGTATGTATCTCACCATCCTTTTGAGGCTGTACTCCTGCTTCTGTAACTGCTGTTGAAGCCATCATGGACACAGGCTGCAAAACACATACACACAGATACCACAGAATCTTCAGTTTTAATCATTCTTATAACTTTTGCCTTGTCACCTTTCCTTTGGTCTATGTAAAATGGCAGAAAGATAGTATATATGAAGAACTACTTTTGCCTAAGGGAATTTTTTACTCTTTTTACGACTTAAAGGTCTGATATAGAGAGATAGCTTTTAGGAAGAAACTTCGAATCTTTACTCTTTATTGCTTTTTAGTTTTTCTTCACAGGATTGTTTCAAAAGATTTATTTTTATTTATGTGTGTCTGTGTTTATAGGTGCAGGTGCCCATGGAGGCCAGAAAGGTGAGAATATAGAGTGCTGAGAATTAAACTTTCGTCCTTTGCAATAATAGTGAGTGCTCTTAACTGTTGAGCCATCTCTCCAGCCCCTCTCATAGAATATTTAAACAGTGCAACTTGGATATTCTTTTGAAAAAGTACTTTTTTAGTCAAAATACTGTCACAGGAAGTTTTAGCCTCCTCCAAAGCAGAAACACAAAATGTATAAGACTGATCTGGAATGTATTCTATCCAGAGGATAAGAAAAAAAACTCGCCAGGCGTGGTGGTGCACGCCTTTAATCCCAGCACTCAAGAGGCAGAGGCAGGTGGATCTTTATGAGTTCAAGGCCAGCCTGGTCTACATAGTGAGTTCCAGGACAGCTGGAACTCTCAAAAAAGACCAAAAAAAAAGAAAAAAGAATAAAACTCAACAAGCATCTTTGATGTTTTTCCATAGTTACATTAGGGAATCAGTGTTAATTTTTCATTAATTTGTCTCATTTCTGTTGACATGAACACTGAATAGGAATTAAGGTATTAACCATTTAGATTATAGTTTGTGCTCCAGAAATATATGCAGATTATGAAAGATTTAAACACTTACAGCAACTGAAGATGTCACTGTAATATTCTCTGGACTAAGTGTTCTTCTTAACTGAGCATCAAGATCTTCTAGAGGTTGCTGAGACTAAGCAAAAACAGTTACAGTATTGTAAGTTCTTTAACACCTTCAGAGTCACTGTATATAGCCATTTTATATAGAACATTATTTTATGCTTTGATTACAACACAGCATTTGTTCTAACACTGAATATAAAACTCAGTATGTTAAAATTTAGTATTAACACTTGATGCTTTTTCAGTTTGTCTGTAGTGTGTGCCATTCCATTAGGCCTTGGAGTAATTCAAGTACCACCATGCTTTTGTAAACTTCAAGGTCATTCTTTCTTATCTTTTATGTTCAATGTTAGTAAATTTATTGTTTCTCTAAAAATATATTTTGAAAATTATATAAAGATCTATTGTCAGATTAATTATATCACAAGTCCCTATTTTCTTAGTTTTTTAAAAAAGGTTTTATTATATAGCTCAGGCTAGTCTTGAGCTTGTAGTAATTCTCCTGCCTCAGACTCCTCAGTGCTGAGATTACAAGCATGCACCATTATGTCTGGCTCTTTCTCAATTTAATAAACTTTTCTGGGACCCTCTCGTTCAATAAGAAATGTCATTAACATATCCTGTCACTACTGAGAACATTCTGTTTTTCAGATCTTAAGGTATACACTACTACTTTCACCTCCCTGGTGGCAGTAAGGAGGTACTATACACCACTACCGCACATCTCAAGTACGTACCTTCCTTTTACCTTTGCCACAAGCTCTAATCCTACATCTACCTTGTCTTCTTTCTTCTATATATGAAGGCTCTAGACATTACCTTTATACTACAGATTTCTCATTATTTTACATTCCCTTAAAAATCTGACTGCTTGTCTTTAAGATGGTCTTCTCAGATTGGCCTCAAACTGTTGGGTTTGACTAATACTCCCACATCATGGTGCTCAACTTTTGAATGCATGTTTCTAATTAGAAATGGGTTAAAATATCATCCTGATTTATAGGCTTTTGCATTACACATTCTTTTTTTAATATTTTATTTATTGTTTTTTTATTTCATGTGTATGCATGTATTGCACGGGTGTAGTAATTGCACCCGTGTCATGCAATGCCCTCGGAAGACAGAAGAGGCTGTCCGATCCCCTGGAACTGGAGTTACGGACAGCTGCCATGTGGGTGCCGGAATCTTCTGCAAGAACAGTCAGTGTTCTTAACCACTGAGCCATCTCTCCAGCCCCTACACATTCTTTTTATAAAATTTTATGGCTAGGTTGGTAGAGTGGGTCCTCTATTGGAGTTAATGACTATTGTGACAATTTGTTATATTATTACATTCTGTTGAAAATTAGGATCAAAGTAGGGATAAATTCTATATTAGGCTTTTGAAGTAAGCAATTTGTGTGATGTTTTTCTTATATGTAATTAAAAAATAAACTGATATAGATTCAAATTTTACTTGCTTGTCCCATGTCAGAAGTTTTTTCATATTTAAAATGTATAACAAATGCTTTCCTGATAAGGATTCAACTAAATACATTGGTAATAGGGTGTGGAGGGGAAAGGAAATAATTTAAATATTACAAGTTATGTGTGCCCATGAGCAGAACTGAGACTGAGAAGAAAATCTCAAGTTCATGCTGCTGGTCTGGAACTCACTACGTAGACCAGACTGGCCTCGATGTCATAGAGATCGGCCTGCTTCTGCCTCTCAAGTGCTGGGACCAAAGCTGTGTGCCACACCTGGCAAGATATGTAACTTTTAGATAAAGTGTATATTTTTATAAACTATCATCACTATATTTAAGTCAATTACTTTACCAGGTGATTGATTGGAAAAAAAAAATCACACAATAAAAAAAACTTATTAAAAAGGTGTATCAGTTATCCATGGATTCCCACTCCTCTCTGTCCCAACAGTGTCTTGCTATGTAGCCCAGGTGTCCTCATACACACAACCCTCTTGCCTGACCTACTGGAGTACTGGGATCACAAGCCTGTACACCAGTCTTGGTTTGTGGTTCTCTTGTCTTTTCTTTTTAAATAGAGTCAAAGATGGCGAGGAAGAACTCCCTAAAATGGCAGGGGCTTCAAGGTTTCAGGACTACCAACCCATGGTTTTCTTTTCAGATTCAAGAAATTCTCAGTTAAATTTAACTACATATAAACTTTCTATTTCTATAATGGTTTAGAAGTTGAAGCTAACTTTACATTTTTCTTTAAAAAAAGTTTTCATTTGTGTATGCCTGTGGTACATGTCCATGTATGTAGGTGCATGTGTATCTGTGCCTCTCTATGCATGCATGCAAGTGTGTGCAGGCTCGAGGTTGACATCAATTGCCTTCTTTGATTGTTCTCTACCTATGTATTGAATCAGGGTCTCTCACATGAACCCACTAATTTAACTAATGTAGCCAGCTTGCTTCAGAGACCCTTTATATCCACTTCTCAGATGCTGGGATTACACACAGCATTCATGTGAGTGCTAAAGCTGACTAGGCAAGTGTTTTAACCACTGAGTCATCTCTTCAGCCCCAATCATACTTCTAAGATGCAATTTCACTATTCTATTAAAAAGTGAATGATGAACGAGTTGTTTGTATGGCAAAATGTCCACTTTGCTATTTCTTTCCTACATAACATATGAAAAATAAAATCCTCCAGGCTATGCCTCCTGACTGCTGGGATTATAGGAGTGTGCTACCACATCCTCCCAGATAGTTTTAAAAGAAGGATATTACTAAATCACAGCCCAAAGGAGCTGGAAGCCAAGATTACAAATGGAGAATTTATACAAGTTCTGTGATGGAAAGTAGGGGTGTAGAATGTAATCTGCCAAGTCAGGGGCACCTGAGTTAGAGAAGGTCCAGGAAAAGGTGGCAACTGCTCACAGGGTAGAGCACCAGCTGGAAGTTCAGTACCCACTGGCAGCACCTATAACGGAGGGAAATTCGAACCCATGAGACACTAATGATAAAGACTACACACTAAAGAGCGAATTCAGCTAATTTGACTGCAGAAGAATGAAAGCAAAATGTGTCTCGTTATGGCATGCTTTATTTTTTTGGTCTTCGAGACAGGGTCTCCCTGTAGCCCCAGCTGTCCTGGAACTCACTATGTAGACCAGGCTGGCCTTGAACTCACAGAGATCCTCCTGCCTCTGCCTCCCAAGTGCTGGGATTAAAGGCGTGTGCCACCATGCCCGGTCTGGTTATGGCATGCTTTTATCACTATAGTCTGCGATTTGTCTTAAAGGATATCATAACCAAAGGTGCTATTATGAGTTACTATGAAATACTTATGAAAAAATAGAACAAAGTCTTTACACAGATAAGAGGCACAGTCAATGTATTTTTAAAGCCGCTCATCTGCTATGGTATGTATCATCAGGCTTTTGGTAAGAGAAACAGGACTTTTCAGAAAAAGAAAATGAGCTGGTTTAGAAATAATCAAGGGTCATGTCCAAAAATAACAGGCATAAAAAATTTAATAGTATCAAGTACTTTCTATTTTGTCAGTGTAAAGATTATACAGATGGTTCCTGACTTATAATGGAAAGACCAAAAAACTTTTCAATTTATGACAGTACAAAATCAATATAAATTCAGTGAAAATTGTATATTGAATTATTTTTTGTTTTAAGGCAAAGTTCTTGCAATGCAGGTCAGTGTGGCTTGAACTTGTTTGTCCTTCTGCCTCAGCTTCCAGAGTGTTAGGATTACAGGCATAGCCCACCACACCCAAGCATATCTTTTTGGAGGTGGAGTAGGGGAAAAGTTGGGACGTCTTGTTACATATTACCCAGGCTGATCTCCATCCTCTGGGCTCAAGTGATTCTCCTACCTTAGACTCTTGATTAGATGAGTCTATAAGCACATACCACCATGTGAACACCAGATTCTGTTTATTCCGAGGCTAGCAAAATACGGTATGATGTGGGCAGCAGCAATGAACTAGAGCTGTCAGTCAGTTATGCTACTACAAGGGCCAGGAACTGATATCTAGTGTTCTGTGCTGTTAAGCTACAATGCTAGGTTAGGTGTACAATGTTTTCAATGTAGAAGTGGGTTTATATGGCTATAGCTTTATTATATGTCAAGAAATACCTGTATTATCTATTGTAAAAAAGAATCCCACCATCAAGAAGCACTGTAGAAAGATGCCTGAATTATACAATATAGAAGACATAATATACCCTTGCTACTTTTGGAGACAACTACAGCGAGGCTAAGGATAACAGAATGAGAGGAAATCTACAACAGCAGAATTAGAGAATACATTTTAGTTATCTGATTCCTAAAATGAGATTATTTCCTCTTTTATATCACTTTCATCAACTTCCAACTTTTCATTAACTCTAAGTTGTACCCCGTGGAATCCATAACAAAGATTTACTTCATTCTCAGACTGAAGGATTCAGTTTGTCCTTCTTGGGACACAGACTTCTTCAACAAATTCTTCTATATGTCCAGTAGAAGTAACTTTTCCTCTCTTTAGTCTTTAAAAAGACATTATTCAGCTGGGCATGGTGGCCCACACCTTTAGACCCAGCACTTGGGAGACAGAGGTGGATCTCAGTGAATTCAAAGCCAGCCTGCTCTATATAGTGAGCTCCAGGCCAGCTGAGCCTATAGGGAGACCCTAGCTCAAAAACAAAAACAAAAAACCCCCACACACAAAAAAAGAAAAACCATTCTATTTTTATGGGTGTACGTTTGGGTAAAGGTATGCACACTTGAATGCCAGTGGCTGTGAAGGTCAGAACAGGGTGTCAGATTCCTTGGAGTTATAGGTTGTTATGAGCCACCTGACATGGATCCTGGGAACCAAACTTGGGTCCTTGGCGAGAGCAGTAAGTGCTCTAAACTGTTAAGCCATCTCTCTAATCCCTCTTTTCTCTCTCTCTCTCTCTCTCTCTCTCTCTCTCTCTCTCTTTCTCTCATTTTTTTCTTTTTTGAGGTAAGATTTTCCTATAGCTCCAACTGAACTGGAACTTGCTATGTAGACCAGGCTGGCCTTGATCTCATAGAGATCCTCCTGCCTCTGCCTCCTGAATGCTGGGATCAAAGGCATGGGCTACCATCCCTGCTCTGTTTTCATGGTTTTGAATCAAAAGTCTCACTCTATAGTCAAGGCTGGCCTCAAACATTGTAAAGCCCTATAACCTGTGGTGATGCTCTTATCTCAGCCTCTGAGTGCTAGGCTTATAGGCATGAGCCACAAGATCAAGTGAAATACATATATTTTTACCTGGTAATTATACATTTTAAGAAAATTGTACATCATAGCCTAAAAAATTCTGCCACATTACAAAAAACAAGTCTGGTGCTTACTGCATAAATATCTTAAAACTGCTGTCACTTTAAGACTGACTGATCAGTATATATGCTAGGCACCTTTATAACTACATTTCTAACTTGCAAGGCTGAATTAAAAACAAGGAATTATGGAGAGGAGAGGAGGAGTTATTCCATTTATCTACCCATTTAACAGTGATTCTTACCATAGTCTTAGTTAAAGATGGCTTTGAGGGAGTAATGCCAGGTTTTGCTCCCGTTGCAGTGCAGACTGGAGCTGAAACATAGGTGCTGGGGGTAGAAACTTGCCCAGGTGTGCCCACTGGCATAACTGGTAAACCAGTTGTTCCTAATGGCAAACTAGTTGGTGGTAAGCAAGTACTCGTAGTAGAAGTCATAAGTTTGCTTGGTGCAACAGCAGTGGTAGGGATGCCTGGTGTGACCGTGGTCTCTACTACTAGGGATGTCTCTAGTGAGACAGAAGCATGCTGAGTTCCAGATGAGCTGTGTTCACTAAAGAGAGACCTCAGCTTTTCCTCTAGAGTCTTTATGTCATCAATTCCAGGAACTTTGGGTTGGGTATCAGCATCTATTTCTGGACAGTGAGTGTGGGGTTGGTTGGGAAGCAAAGCTGGTTGAGGCTGACTGTGAATGAGTGTCTGCTGTACTGCAGGCACATTAGTAACAGGTTGTACCAAGGGTGGGATACTAGGTACTTGGGGTAATAAAGGCATAGAAGTAGGTCCTGGTGGTTGGGGAAGGACAGGTGTAGAAGTTACAGCTGATGAGATGACCAAAGGATGTACTACACCAGGCTGAGAAACAGAACTTGACACTCCTATTCCAGGAGAGGAAGAGGAAGATGGTGCACAGAAAGACAAAGTCAATCCAGTTGTACTGCTATGAGATGTTTTGTCTAGCGAATGTGCACTAACCACCACTGTTTCAGCTAAAGTAAGAGCAGAGGTGCTACTGCTGAGCTGTAGTGATGGCTGTGAAGCTAAGCTTGGGAATGGTGTGGTGGTACAGACAGGCGTCACTATAGCTACCCCAGCAGTACTGCCTGCTACCTGTTGTAATAATAAAGCTGGAGGATTAGCATTTGGAGCAGCCACACTACCCACTGTAGGAGTTGAAGTTGTTGAAACTGTTCCAGAAGGAAAAGTACTTGTACTGGAAACAATACTCCCAGATGTGGAAGCCTGAACTGGCTGGGATGTTGTAGGCATTGTGACAACTGCAGGTACTGTGGTGCTTGAAACCATACTGGAAAGTGTTGGTGACTCAGACACAGACACTATAGGGAGACCACTTGAAGCTACCACACCTGTGCTTGTGCTAACTCTAGCAATGCCTTTTTCAGTGGGCACAGTAACCTCAGACGGAATTACTGAGGTGGAAATGTTATTAAGAGGGCTGCTTGTTACAGGGACTGATACTGAAGGCTTGGTGGCTGCTACGGTTGGGCTACCAGCAACGCTAGCCAAGAAAGGAGAAAATACTGGTCCTGTATGACTGAAGTTTGGAGGTGCTGTATTGGGTCCTTCAGTCATCTGGGCATGTTTAAGTTCAGAAAAGGCCTGCTGAAGACTAAGGGATGAAGCAGAATGAGATAAGTTCATTCCAGGACCCTGAGATGTGGAGGCAGCAACTAGAAAGGAAAACAAAAATAAACAAATTAACCCATTTAAAAAGGATAGATTCAAAAGACTGTCCCTTGAAGACCTATTTTTGGATTATCAACATTGCCACTTGTCAGTAATATTTAAAATTTCTCCTACGGAAATGACATGTTCTAAAACAGTAAAGTTAAATAGTAGTTTGATTCAGTAAGTCAGCTTGTCTGAGTATATATTTCCAGAAAACATGGAGTAACCCAAATGCATATAGACAACTCTAAATGCAGAACAGACACACCTGTCTACTGTACAGTTTGTATTTAGTATGGCTGTTCTTCCTGCACTTTTTTCTGAGACGGTCTCATGTAGCCACCTGGACTGCCTCAAACTCCTGATTTCCCTTTCTCTGCCTCCTGGGCAGTGGAACAGGCCTGTGCACCATGCACAGATTTTATTTTTAATCTTCTCTATTATTTTCTATTGCCTTCTTCCATGTTTGTCTGTTATGACTTTACTTTTCTATTTTTTATTTGAGTAATTATGAGCTGATTTACTTAAGTATATATTGCCAAGTCAATCCTTACCTGTATCTGCTATTTCACTGCTGAAAACTTTGGATTCTCGTAATCGACCTTCTGGCACAGGACTCACTATAAACCGTCTTCCAGCAGAATGAACAACTTGTGTTAAAGAACTGGTAGGAACACCTGGATAAAACAAACCATTTAACTGTATATACACTGTGATACATGAAGTGTCTAGATTTTATTACTGGCACACATAAATTCTTAAGTTAAAGGATAAAAACAAATAAGAAAAATTCACCTATTTGTTGTGGCATGGAAGATGCAGGAAGTGGTTGTTTGAATTCTCCTTCCAATTTCTACAATAAGCAAAAGTAAATTCATTCTTAAACACAATCTCCATGATTAAGCAAAATAAACTGTCACAATTGACAAGAACATGAATGCCTGTTTTTAGTCAACAGGGGTGATATATTCAGTGGATATTCTGCTTGGTGAATTTGACATTACAGAAATATTTTAAATTAGCAGTCACTATAGGAATGGTGAACCTACTTGAGAACTGGAAAAGCCATAGTCATCCTTTCCCTGTAGACTCTCCAATCCCTGGTCACCCTCGGGTTCCACACTGACATCCTCACTGAGCATTTCATCAGCTTTTTCAATAATTTCCCGCACCTGAGCCACAAAAGACTCTCTCTCTATTGCTAGAATAAAGTCATTGTTCACCTGTAAAAGAAATGTGATAGTCATCTTATTAGTACAGTTCCTAGGCTTTAAATAATTCAACTATCATTTTTATGACGTCTCTTATCTGTACATCAACTATATTATTATTTACTTGGTATTTAAGCTAGTCCTTCCCTTTTAAAGATCCTGAATATGGCTGGTCGTGGTGGCACATGCCTTTAGTCCCAGCACTAGGGAGGCAGAGGCAGGTGAATCTTTATGAGTTCATGGCCCCTGGTCCACACAGTGAGTTCAGGCCAGTTGGAGCTATAGGGAGACCCTGTCTCAAAAAGACAAAAAAAAAAAAAAAAAAAAAAAAAAAGATGCTGAATACTTACTTAGTATTAGTATACATCTTATATGTACTAGTATACATCTCATATGTACTAGTATACATCTCATATGTACTAGTAGTATACATCTCTAAATCATAGACTCATAGGATGGGTATGCTAGTTTTACTTACAACTGATATTAAAATTTACAGTTGTCAAAATGAAAGTGAATCACAAGATACTGCATAGGGCATTAAGATCAACTACTATAGAAAAAATATGGAATTCCAAATGGAGATATACCATAATTGTTGCTATCTCTTCAGGATTGTCACCATCTAGGTCAAATTTGAATGTAACCATTTTCCGATTATGAGTCTCTAATTGACATTCCACTACTCGGTCTCCTTTATTTGAAACCTAAAAAGAAAAAGGAAAAGGTACTTCATATTCAGCTTTCTTACTGAATTTGAGAAATATCTTGTCTGAGGAAGCACACTGTTACCTCTATTCCTTTAGCACCAATACTGTCTGAAAACTTATGAGACGATATCAAGATATCAGCCTTTGAGCTACATTCTCATTTTGTACCAGTCTTTTCTAAAAGGCAAAAAGTGCCTTACTATAAAGATCTAGAAATTAAGAATATTATTTGGGCAATCATTTGAATAGTTCACCTGAGCCTTAAGATTTCAAATATTATTACTTTTATGTGTATGAGTGTATTGCCTGCATGTGTGCAAGTGCACCCATGTCGTGCAGTGTCTGCAGAGATCAGAAGAGGGCATCAGATTCCCCTGGAACTGGAGTTACAAATGGTTGTTAGTCACCATGTGGGTGCTGGGAATTGAACCTGGGTCCTCTGCAACAGCAGTGCTCTTAATTGCTGAACCATCTCTCTAGCCCCATGAGCCTTAAGATTTAAGTGAAATTAAATATAAAATACATTGTCCACAAAGATTTGAATATCAACTGCTAACCTTATTATGGCTTTATGAACAAACTACATTTTTATTTTTTCTATTATAGAAATGTGATATTCAATTAAAAGAATGTGAATTAAATGAAAAGGCTACTATAAAAATCATATATAAAGCAAGACAAGATATTTTTATTTAAGAATTGAGTAGTTTGGATTTGATGATCTCTAAAATTGAAAGTGTCAAATTCCTTTAATAATATGAAGATCACAAATCAGTAATACTTACATTCAAAATTCTTAGTTTTGGGCGGGAAGTCTTTTCATGACGAGAGCGACTTCTTACAGATTTCCGATAATGACGTTTTGTTGTTCTCCCTTCATGCCTCCCACTGGATGATGGGGCATTCTCATTGCCATCACTCATACCAGAAGCAACATCTGAATGTGCACTTTGAGTTAAAAAAAAAAAAAAAGCTCAGTGTATAAGATTGAAAGACCTGATATTTTGAAGTTTACTATCATCTTTCCTACTACTCAAAGGTTTATTTTAGTGCACTTACCTGTCTACAGAGGAAACCAATGTGACAGGCTGAGTAGGCTGTGACTGTGCTAATGAAGCTGGTTCTGGAGGAGCAGCCTGAGAAACTCCCTGGGTACTCTGTGAACAGAAAGGATAATTCCAGTCTTGGCGTCTTGGCAGTTAGATATATTATCATTCGCCACCTCCAATAAATTCTCTTTTTCTTTTTCCTGTTACCCGTCCCCCTAAGTCCTAGAAGCAAAAAAGTTACCAGTAATTCTTGATATTCAAAAATCTATAGTGTTCTTAAAATTTCAGAGGAAGTTTCTAAAGCTAATCTCTAGTACAGACTGCTGTTGTGAGGTCAGCCAACCTACTTGCTAGGCATTGTGAAACTACAACTTGCCATGCAGCCAGCATCTTACCAGGGTGTGCAATAGGGCAGGCAGAGCAAAGTGTAAAGATGAATTCAGAACTTTGAAATCCTACTAGGACAAAAATGGTTGCTTGGGAGCACAGCACACTAAAATACTCTCATAAACTGCCAATGGCAAGAGTTTGTGGAAGGAGAAAAATAATGGCTAAAGTACTAGCTAGAAGAAGTGCTAATAGTGTTAATCTTCTCCAAGGCAAACTCACTTCCCAACAGAACAGCCAGTGGCAACAAGGCCCCCACATTGGCATTTCATTCTGCTGTAAGAAAAAGTCATTTAGAAGTTAGTTTGACATAGTCTCCAAACAAGTACTAAACCAGGGAGCCTGTTTTTCCTTTATAACTTAAATCCCATTTTTACAGATGTTTTATAAACATGCAATAATTCCATTTACCTCCAGAACTGCTTGCTGGGAGGAAGTAGTGGGGGGTTGTTGCGTTAAACTCACTGCTGGTTGGGACACTTGAACCTGTCCTCCTACACCGCCCATAGGAACCAAAAGATTTGATTCCACATAAGGCTGCACTACTGTAGGAAAGTAACCTTGTGTAGCCAATGCTTCTGTCGGCATGGGAGGGGCTAGGGCTGTAGAATGGATGCAAACAGAAGCCACGTTGGAAGAGGGAGCAATATTTGAATCTCCTGGGTATTGTGGTGGCAGTCGAGATGGGAAGCCCTGTGACAGAAATGAGGAAGGTGAGTTAGTGCAGGTTGGGACATGAAATAGCCAGATCAGCAGACATGCTTTTTTAAAAAAAAAAAAAAAAAAAAAAAAAAAAAAAAAAAAAAGAGTATAGTAAAGAATAGTGCCCCACTTTCTTACTAAGAATCTGAAGACAATTTAAAGATCATTCTCTAAATGAAATGGTAGATTGGTTCCAATTTGGACGGTAGCACTCTACAAAAATCGTACTTTAAGCCGGGCGTGGTGGCACATGCCTTTAAATCCAGCACTTGGGAGGTAGAGGCAGGCTAATTTCTGTGAGTTCAAGGCCAGCCTGGTCTATATAGTGAGTTCCAGGACAGCTGGGGCTACAGGGAGACTCTGTCTCAAAAAGACCAAATAAATAAATAAATAAATAAAAAATCATACTTTAAGCTATTGGCTTTTCCCTTCTGAAGATTATTTAAATAGAATTTAGAGACTTAATCCCTCATACAAATAATCTGCTTTATAGCAATCTTACATGGAAGAATGCAAAAATCTCTCCCAGGACAGTTATATTATGAAACGCTAATACTCTAAATCTATACCTGAACATTTTTGTTAATACTATGCTGCCAACTCTATTTACTCCATCTATATATAAAAAAGCAGTCTGGTATACTATATTAACCATATCCAGCATTTATTTAGCCTATACTGGATATTGAGGTAACTTTTCTCCTAAGTAGTATCTTCAAAAACGTGTAAGGAATCATCTAATAACATTGCTCCATCCTTTTTTGAAAATGGCAACTGACACTCGACTAGTAGATTTTCTAATTCTTAATGATCTGCCATTAGAATCAAACCCTCTAGTGCCCTCTGATTTGCTAGCTAACACAATACCTGGTACAGAACATCTCCAGAGGGAAGTGGACCCTCAGCAGCTTGTCCAAGGTTAGCTGGTATTCCCATGGACTGAACTGTTGGCTGTAGGAGCTGTGGGTGAACCTGACTTGGCAGCTGATTCACAGGCTGCAGAAGGGTTGGAAGCTGATTAGGAGCTACAGTTGATCCCCCTGGGATAGAAGATGCTGTAGTAGATGAAGCCAAGGTGAGCAGAGGCTGATTGATGCCAGCTGCCATTGTTATAGGAAGGGATGAGAAACCTATCTGAGCAGTAGACACATGAGGAGTTGATACGGGAATCTGAGAGACAGAGTACTGTGGGAGTAAGGAAGTAGGGTGTGGCTGTCCCATAGAGAGAAAATGAGCACCAGAGTGGACTGGAACAACTGAGGGTTGTGTCGAAACTGGGATCTGAGGTTCGCCTTGGATAGTTGGTACTGTCTGGGAAACTGGAAGCTGGGAAGGTAAAGAAAAACAAAACAGACTTTTTTTTTTTTTTTTGTAAAAAAGCAAGGCTGCCAAAAGCAAGATTTATATATTAGCCAAGAAGAGAAAATAAAACTCTGCATACATTAGTGTAAGTTAATATGCCATATAAGGATAGGGAAAGAATAGCAGGAGAGACAAAACTGCCTACTGTTTCTAAACCATTTGTTGCAAAACATTTTGTTAGTTTCATTGTTGATTAAATGAAAGTAATTAAATTCAAATGAAGTTCTTTCCAGTGGAACTAGATTTTATCTGTATTACCTCTCAATTCTTAACACCTCACATATTTCTTCTACAAAAAGTAGATATAATTAACATAATACACTGATTCTAGGATAAAATCATCTTTCTCTTCATTATTACATAACACTTGAGAAATTAGGATACCTGCAGAAATTGGGAGGATGTGTCAATATGTACTTAATTGGAAATAAAATAATGGTGAATTTTACAATGGATTCTTTTTAGTTCTGATACAACAATATTCTATGCACATAAATGTACAAATGATCCATAGGTGAAGCTGAGAAAGGGTAATTCAGAAAACATACCTTTTACAGGGTATTTTTCAAGTGATTAAAAGCAACAACAACAACTCACCTTCCCCAAGACAAACAAAACAAAGCCCCAAACAACCATATACTTAAGCTTTTTTGAATAATGGCTAATCTTTCTTTGAGGGGTGGGAGGAAGCCCAGGCTGGTCTTGAGCTTCCTGCCTCTTCCTGAGTCTGGAATTGCAGGCATGGCCCAACAGGTCCAACATGTGATGGTTAATTTTGTGAACTTTAACTGGACTAAGAGTAAAGGAGATTAGTAAGACATGCTCCTGGGTGTGTCTCTGAGGACATTTCCAGAGACAACTAGATTATAAGGGGTTTGATCTCTGATGAATTCATAATTTAAGTAGACTATTGAGTAGGACACAGGAAATGGCTTGGAGTGCCTTTGAAAGGTGTGTTTTGGTCTTTGGCCCTGTCTGTTCTTCCTGGTAGCCATAAGGTGAATAGTTTCTTATGTCATACCTTTCTTCCACAATGTTTTAGCCTTGCTACAGGCCTAAAGGCAATACAGCCAGCCAACTATGAATGAACTGAAACCTCTGAAACCATAAATGATTCTTCCCTTATATTTCCCTTAGGTATTTGCCAGTTATGAAAAATTAATACAGTAAGCTAGTCTTAGTAGGCAGTGAAGAAGGAAATACTGAAGTTCACATGGAAAGAAAGCATATTTGCAAACAGAATATCAGATATAGTTAACACATTTCTAGAGAATGCCACTGGTTCAGTAATCAAAGCATCTCCATTTAACCCATTAGCTTTGATAGTTTTAACTATTTTATATCTATAAACCTAAAAGTTTAACATTTTCATATTGTTACTGCTGTCGCTATGTATAAATGGGACTGATTTTTTACGTCATTATTGCAGTGAGACTAATGTCCACAAACTCTTAAAATTACATGGATAGCATTTGTAGCATCTTTTCGGAAATTAGAGTTTACCTGTTTTCCAGCTGAGACTTGAGGCAAACTTTGTGAAGCTTGAGGCTGACTGACTGGCTGTGCAGTAGCGCCCTCACTGGATGATGCTGTCTGTGGGAGTGAATACTGTGCTGCCTGTTGAGGAGGAGCTGTCTGCTGTATTCCCTGTTGCTACAAATAAAATATAAAGACTTAGGTTTTTAATATTTTTATTCACTTACTCTTATTTATTTTGGTTTATGAAATAGGGTCTCCCTGTAGCCCCTGCTGGCTTGGAATTCATTAAGTTGACCTCAATATCACAGAGATCTGTCTGCTTGTGTGCTGGGTCTAAAAGTGTATACCACCATGCTCAGCAACATTTTATTTATTTTTTTATGTATATGAGTGTTTTCCCTACATGTATGAAAGTGCACACCGTATGTGCAGCGTGGGTAGAGGCCAGAAGAGGGCTATGGTTCCCCTGAAATTGGAGTAAAGTACCTGACTCACTATACATGTTAACTATTACTGATTTATTTTATACTACTTAGACTCCTTCAGAGCCTATCATGACCAGTTCATTTGGGCTGACCCTTAGTAAAACTGTTTAGCTGAGAATGTTCAAAGAAGTAAAGAAATATTACAAATGGGTAGTTTTATGAATTTCTTCCCTTGTTGTTTACATCTATGCCAGCTGTACCTTAAATATTGTTTTTGAGAAATGGTACTCATAACCAAGCCAAAAGTACATGTGATCTGTTTCTGCACAATCACATTGGCTAATAAACCCAATAGATCAACCAAGCAGTATGGCTTAGGACAAGAGGCTGGCATCATGCATTGTCTAGGCTTGCCTTATGGAAGCCAGTACAAATAGCTTTTATTGACTGTATATACTATGTTGTGCATAGGTGCATGAGAAATGTACATGAGCCTCAGGCCAAAGAGCAAAGAATATCTATAGACTTTGAACATGCCATTATGGGGAAGATGTTTATATTTCTCACAACTTTCTCTATAGACACAAACATTAGAAGGTACCACATTAAGATAAATATTTATGTGTATGTGTGTTTGTGTGAGTGTATGTACTTAAGTATGGGTGCCTACAGAGTCCTGAAGAGGGTATGGGATCCTCCAGAACTAGAGTTACAAGTAGCAAGTCGCCTAATGTGGGAACTGAATTTCAGTCCTCTGGAAGAGCATGTAGGTGCTCTTAACTGCTAAGTCACCTCTCCAGGCCCCTCCATTGTATTTCTTGATGAAAACATACAAACAAACAAAACCCAAGAAACAATTCCTCATTTACTATGGTCCAGAAATACAGGAAACAAACTAAATTTCAGGTAAGGTATAGATTTTTCCTTCCTATAACAAAACTATATGCTTCCTAAGGTAGTTGAGGCCAGAGAATATATAAAACAATTATCACATCTTAAACCAGACTATTAATACAATACAGAAAGCTCTTTACTTCCTTGTATTCATGTGGAACCCAATAACAAGTTGTTGTTTTTTTTTTTATAATGACTGCATAACTTTATTTAGGAAAAAAAATCTCACCATTCTAAATTTTTTTTCTAAATATAAATCTATTGTTGCAAGTTAACAGTAGAGAGAAAAATGTACTGTAACTAAAGAACTGAAAATTTGATACATAGGAATAGCTGCTACTCATCAGCTGTTTCAATATATTTAGAAGTTAAAAGGTCAGTAAACAAGCTAGTGATTACAGGTATAATTTAAGCTAGAATTTCCATTCTAAAGAAGTGCCTCTTAGCTAAGATGATTGTATTATGTTACTTAGGTTCAAGTTCTTTCTTCAAAGAGTCATCAGAAAAACATGGATTGAAGAGACTTTCGAACATTTGCCATCTCTTGCTGCTGAGTTTCCATCATAACTTTTTTTTGCAACATAGCCATTTCTTTTTTAAGTTCATTCTGGACAGCCAGTAAATAAACTATCATTTTTCTTCTCAACATCCATCAAATTTTTTATGAACTGCTCATGTAGCTGTTTGTTTTCAGTCTCTGGTTCTGAACAATTCTAGATTGCTGAAAAATCTTTTGTTGTTGTTGAAGAAGATTAGTTTTTCTTCTTGTTCCTCAAATTTCTGCAAATCCAAATCCTTTGAATTTTCAAAATTTTTAGCTTTCTTAGTATCTCAAGGATTCGAGAAAAGTAAAATATACTAGACTGCATACAATGTCTATATAAAATGGTTTTTATAATTCTATGATGCTAACTCAACTTAAAACATGACATAATAGTATTCAAAATAAAAACATCAAAAGAAAAATTAATTTTTTGTGGCAAAAGTATTTAGTCGTATTTTTACCAACACTGGAGTCAACTAATTCTTTTTTTAAATTTATTTTTTCTTTTGTGAATGTTTTCAAATTTATTATTTATTCCAATACTGAATGTACATACATGTACATAGTGAATTTTGGTCATTTTCACCCCCATTGCTCTGCCTTGCCCCTCCCTCCTCCGCTGAACTCCTGCCCCAAGAAGTCTTCCACTACATTCATTATGTCTTTTTGTGCGTATGACCCACTGATTTTGATTGGTTTGCTTGCATTAGCACTTTTGGGAGGTTACTTACTACAACATGGGTTACCTTTCAGAGGCTACACGATTAAAGAAAATGCCATTCCTCTCCTGTAGCAACCATCAGCTACTAGCAGCCCAAGATTTCTAGAATAACAATTTTTTTCCCTAAATAAAGGTATGTAGCAGGTATCCAAAAAGTTGTATTTGTCTGGGTTCCACATGAAGTTTTCTCTACTATACTGAGAGTCTGCTTTCAGTTGTGGTATTTTATTTTATACTCTCAGGAAAAGTGGGGCCTCATTAGCTATATTGCCTGCATGTAAATGAACCTATGCCATGCAATGCTTGAAGAGGGCATCGGATTCCTTGGAACTGGAATTACGAACAGTCAGTTGTTAACTGCAACGTGAGTGCTGGGATTGGAACCTGGGTCTTTGCAAGAACAGCCAGTGCTCTTCACTGCTGAACCATCTCCCAGCCCCTGAATTTTTCTTTTCTTGAGATAATATCTCTCTAGGAAATCTACAATAGCCTGGAACTTATGATTCTCCTGCCTTAAGCTTCCTAAATGCTGGGATAAAAAGCGTACACCACCGAGCGTACTCCCGGCACTTGGGAGGCAGAGGCAGGCGGATCTCTGTGAATTCAAGGCCAGCCTGGTCTATGGTGAGTTCCAGCGACAGCTGGGGCTACAAGGAGACCCTGCTTCAAAGAGACCGCCCCCCCAAAAAAACCCACATATACCACCATACTCAGTCACAATGACTTTAACCTAGCACTTTTAGCCTTTTAGCATTCTGTTATTTTAGCCCCACATACTTTTGCAGTATTGAGCTCAATGATTATTTTCACTTTTTTCATTGGGAAATATTTATAGTTATAGATGAACGCAAACATATATGTACATGTAAGATAGTCAAATTCCTTTGAAGAAGGAAAAACAGAACACATACTTAAATGTTCATTTACTGGTGTTGGCCTATGTTGAAAGATTAGCAAATTTTCACCTTTTCCTCCTGAAGACACTGGTGTGAGTCAGATGTTGTGGCTCATGCTTGTAAAATTTAGGGAGGAAGAGGCAGGAAGACTGAGAGTTCAAGGTCAGCTTGGGGCATCATGAGATCTAACAACAACTACAGAAAAAAAATTGGAAGATTGGTACTCATCATAATGCTTTTGCCTCTAACCAGCTTCATATAAGTTGCAATTTGATTCCCATTAAGGGTTGTTAAGAAAATAAAATTTGTTCATGTTGGGGGGAAAAAAGTACTTAAATTTAAACATAAGAATGCATAAATTTAAGTACCTGTTTGGATGAAACATCAGGAGCAAAAGAAAGCATAAAATCCTGGGCAAAAAAGTTTTAAGATAATGATAAGGCCAGAGGACAATTCTGGGGAGTCAGTTCTCTCCTTCCACCTTTACATAGGTCCCAGGGATTCAACTGAGGTAGCCAGACTTTCACTACAAGTACTTTGCCAGTGAAGCATCTTGATAGCCTGTGTTTTTTATCTTGTATAAGGAACACCTAATCTGAATAAGGATCAAATGACTGAAAGATCACATGATCTAATAAAAGAGGCCATTTATAATAAATAAAACAAATTTTTGCTTAAAAAATTAGTTGTGGAATTATTAATGAAATAGTTCTTTATCAAGCTTATATTATACTAATGGGTATAAATTTTGCTTGAAACAACTAATAAGTTATGCCAAAAAGCATTACTTTCTTGCAAATGAACACTATAAATAATAGCAGTGATGAACCATAGATATTTACTTTCAGGATTAGTAGTTTTATCAATTTTTAAAACTTATGTCAAGTTCTTTGAACCTTCTGGGATAAAACCTTCCACTTAAAAGTTTCATAAAGGGGCTAGAGAAATGGTTCCGTGGTTAAAAGCACTGGCTCTTCTTGCCAGAGGACCCAGTTTTGGTTCCTAGCACCTACATGGTGGCTAACGACCATTTGTAACTCCAGTTCCAGGGGATTCAACACACTCTTCTGACCTCTGTGAGTACTACATGCATGAGTGCACTTACATACATGCAGGCAAAAAGATTGATACACATAAAATTTTTTAAAATGTAAAATATTTATTATTATTTTTTGAATGCATGTGTGTGAATTGCCTGCATGTATGTAAGTGCACCTGTGCCATGCAATGCCAACGGAATTCAGAGAGGATGTTTGATCTCCCAGAACTGAAGTTTACAAATGGTTGTTAGCAGACATGTGGGTGCTGGGAACCAAACCTGGATCCTTTGCTCTTAGCTGCTGAGCCAACTCTTCAGTCCCTTAAAAATTTTTTTTTTAAGCAATCTTCCTTTAGTGGTTATTCTTAGGGTTTCCTTCAGTCCCTACTGATAAAAAATCTGATACTCTAACAATTAAAAATGAATTCAGTATTTGAGGTAAGCACCACAGGGGGGAAAATGACAAAATGCCCTTATGTGGACAAGTCATAAACATAAGTAGAAACAAACTGATATTCCTTTTTGTAGTGTTTACATTATGCAGTGAATTATTTAAGAAGGCAAATAAATTATGTAACAATGATTATTTTAAAGTTCAACACATTACCTACTAAATTGTTCAGCAGTATATTAACCAAAATGAAGAATTCCTAAAATGCTAATAAAAACACAAGAAATTATAATATTTCTTTCTCAAAAACTTAGCATCAGAAATCTAGTTCACACAAGATGTAAAACAGTGCTTCTGGCCACTGCTAAAACACAAAATGTAGCAGTGCATTAGTCTCACCTGCTGAGGATGTTGGATGGCTTGGGAAGTTGGAACCCCTGCTAAGGTACTTGATGGTGGCTGGCCCTGGCTCTGCCCCTGTGCCTGAAGCAAAAAAGCAAACACAAGTTAGAGAAGGTAAGTGTATACAGGCTGGACTTTTGCCATTAATGCTTAAGCTCATGAGAAGTTTGCTTGATTAAAGTGAAACAGTTTGACACAGTACGTACAGGACAGAGCTCTGGAGTTTCTTTGTAAGAAAAGTTTAGAAAAGGATCATAGAACATTTCTGTACACATCCCTGGTTTAAAAAGCCTACCACTGATGCTTAGGCTCTAATTTTAGCTGGCTAGAAGTCAGATTCATAATAAAAATGTTACAGAAAAAAATGTGGTAAGAATATCCAATATAAAATTTAATCTGAATAATCAACAACAAAAAAAGGCATTTGATAACACAAATCTGGTCTTTCTGCTATTTCTTGTAGTGTCACAGTAGCTTTGATCCCAAAATGCCAAAAGTCTGTTAAATGAACTCCTAAATAGGTATAGCAGTAGCTGTACTAGGTAACACGAGGAAATAGCTGGAGTCATTTCTGGTTGTCACAACTTGGGGATACGGCTGCTATTTCTAGGAATGTTGCTAAAAATTCTGTAATGCACAGAACAGTACCACTCAGAAAAAAAATTATCCAACCTAAAATATCAATGGTATTGAGTTTGGGAAACTCTGACTAGTGTATTACACTACCAAGAAGTCTAAAGTAAGAATAGACTGTAGGAACCTAAGTATGTGCTAAGGAAATGAATGTATATATAGTATGAATACCCGTTACTGCCTTTTTTGTAGTGTGATATATTTCTTCTTCGAAGCTTACATGGATTTATCACACTCTACTGAGGTTGAAATTACCTATTTTTTTTTGAAGTTTTACTTTGTAAAGCATGAACAAGAGTTGATAACACATTAATATCTACAGTAGGACCTGAAGACTTGAAGGTTGATGTGAGCACACAACAAGCCCATGCATTATAGTTTAAGTTTCAGGATCCTTTTGCTTCTTAATACTACTCTAAGTAACTGATATACCTAAAAAATATGTGAAATAATCATCACTGACTTAATTCTCTGTCTTACCTATTTTTGCATGAGTATGTATGCTCATACATATGACTAAATTTAAATTTATTGGAAAAACAAGGCCTGAGATTTCTGTTCCCAACTTTGCAAAATGTATCTTAAATACAAGCAAAACCCAATATATTCATTACCCACTAGACTCTAGTAGTTGCTAAAATTAGACCTAGTCTTTTAATTTTTTGATTAATATTC